TTTTTGTTCGTTTTTGTTTTTCCAATGGAAAATGTCATGATGCCATTTGTAACCTTGGGTCCCTGGGAGAGACCCGGAAAGAAACGAGTACACATCAGAAATCAAAGGAAATAGAATAATAATATTGTTTATTATTATTATTATTATAACCTTATTCAGCTTGAATTGTCGTCTTATTCAACTAGAATTGTCATACCACAAATATTGACTTACTACCATACATGGATACAACAAAGGATTGGGTGATACAATTAATCAAACAACACGAAAACAGAAAAAAATTGAATCATGAAAGAAAGTTGTAAATAAAAACGAGATTTACATTTGGAAGATTCTGCAGAAAACAAAACCCAAGAACCAATTGTTGCAGAAAAAATATGAAAAAGAAAATCAAGAATAAACCTCTTGAGTAGATGAAAAAACGCTGCCAAAACAAACCTCTGCATGGCCAATCTCCAGAACGTGCTAATGAAGCCAATGTTGATAAAGTTAACTCATTAATGGTTACGAGGATCAGGATTAAAGGCTTTATCCTTGCAGCTCAAGACCAGGGGCTTTTCAATAGGAAATTTGAGGCAAATATTAAACATAATTTTCAAAAATCGAAAACAAAATCCTGCCTACTAATTGATATGTTTTACCCAGCAAACTGTAGCATACCAATCAAGGGATTTGAAAAAGATATTGTAGGAGCGCTTGGAATGATAAAAAAGGGAACACAACTAAACATTGGTAAATCCCATTAAATCCCAGCTTAAGAGAAATACAAAAACATTGTCATGATAAGTTTCAGCCCGCACACCAAGAAGAAATTTGTCCAGATAACGCTTGTGACTTTATGGGATTTAGAAAAACAAATCATGAAATGTTGACATAAAAACAGACCACTTAGGTCTTCTCGTAGATTTAATACAACAATAATAACAATAATAATAATGCTGACTCATTAAACCATTTAGGTAATTCAAGTTTTTCATCAGTTCTTCATTTCGTTTTTATCACACTTTTGTTTTCTCTTTATTTTCATTGATTGTTCCGTTATGCACTACTAATTTCCATTATTTGTGAATATAAAAGAGAAATAGTAGATTTTACGTTAAATACCATGCAATGTTAGTATTATATATGTCTTATTAATTTTCTAGAAATCAACTAAGACTGTTTCAAAGTAATTTTATTTCGTATTTTGAATATTCTTCGTTTAAATAAATATATTCTTCGTTTAAATAAATATATTCTTCGTTTAAATAAATATATTCTTCGTTTAAATAAATATATTCTTCATTTAAGTAAATTCACCAATATTACAACATATTTGTCTCGGACTGATGTTTGTGTGACTACAGTCGTTGTTCCGTCGTCTGCCGTGCCAGTGGAGTCTTCACGGCGGTCTACAGGCTAATACACCACTTTGCGGGTTTATTGCTCTCTTTTTTTCATCAGGATAATGTCTGACTCATAGTAATAAATAGCAAAATGCATTTTCTCTATTGGCTATATATTTTGTCCCATGTAAGGAAATTTTGTCAACTAATTGTTATTGCCGAAGAGAAGTGAATGTAAAAGTTTTCCTTTTGCTACCGAACCAAAATTCTCACTGAGATATTTCGGAGGAAGAAAATTTTTTTTTTTTTCTTAGAAAATTTTGAGTTTTCGTTAGTTTTGATTAGTCAATTCACGGACTAGAGAAAAGATTTTATTTCTTTTTTACGGGATTTGTCACTATCAACTGGCCTTGTCTAATATATCTTAGTTCACATTTACGATATATTTCTAACAATCTGTGTGGCTGTTAGGAATATTAAGAGAGATTTTTGTTCTTAATTCTTTACTGTAAATTATTTTCATTTATTTTAGACATTGTCATCATGCGGATGAGAAAATCGAATGAATTCGATTTGGGACTCAATCGAGTAATTTGTTTTTTAATTTTTCATTAAAAATAATAAATATTTATTTCAATCTTTGTCTAATTACCTGAACAAAAATCCTTAAAAGTTTATTTCGTATTTGTGGGTAACGTTTCATAAATTCCAAATTTTTATTTAGCAATGTTCATCTGTGTTTGATATTCTGCTGTATGTTATTTCGTTAGAGAATAAAAATGTGTTAAAATGTGAGTTAATGTATATTTAAATTAGTCACGGAGAAACTATGACCCACAGAACTTATACGGTTTGGTTTTCTGAATGGAACGCTCAAATTCATGACAATGATAATGTTTATTAAAATTTTATTCGTCTCTTTCGTTTGCACACTCTCTCGTACTTAACCACATAAAAAAAAACAATGATTAACTACAATGTTAATTTAATTATGTAACTTTTCGTAATCTAATATTTTCATGTTATACCGAGGGAAATTTTTACTAAAGAATACCATACCTGTAAACATATTTTTCTTTAGAAACAACGTTGATTATAACGTTTTTTTTTTCTCTCTAGAGATTTTTAAAAAAAAAATATTTTTATCTAGTCAAATGAATAAAGTATAAATATATATATATATATATATATATATATATAAAAACGTATAAAAAAACGTATCACACGCAGCAGTGTTAAAAACAAAACACACATTCATCAATAATAATATCATAATGACTTCAATTTTTGAATCATAGAAGGAATCTTTTCTCTAAAGAAAAAAATAGACTTTTTTTCCCCCCATTTCTCAAGCTCAAGCATATCGTCTTATGTAGGGAAAATGTCTACGGTACATTCAACTTAAAAAATTACCTTGAAATTTTTTAGGTCGTGCGGCCGACTAATGATGAACGATATCTGATGCAGCTCAGTATTTGAAAAAGCTTTCCTATTCCTGATTTAAATGAATATTTAAAGTAATCAAATGTCAATTGTCATATGAAATGTAAGGCGACGGTAACTTCATCTAAAATTAGAATACGTCCGAGAAGAATGGGAGAAATAAATATTTCTTTTCAGCCCACCTGTAAGGTTACTGAGTACAAAAGACACGAAATGTTGATGAATACAGAAGCCAAAAATATTACGAGAACTAACAACACAGATACTGAAACATGTCTGAAATATTTTTCTATTAAAATGAAACAAATTTATTCGAATGATTTTTTTTTTTAAATCCACCGTCTGAATACTGAAAAGAGATAGATGAAGCCAGAGGTCAAAACATCCCAGCAACCGCTGGGGAAAAAAAAAAAAAAAAGAAAAAAAGAAATTTTCAAGAATAATACCATTTCTTTTATCAAGAGATCTTCAAATAACTTTCGTTTGAGAGCTAACGACTTCAAGACTGATTTATCGAAAATGGCCTCCAGATTTAGACGACATACTGAAGGACAAAATGATGCAGAGAATGTTTTCTTTACATCATGTGCAATCAGGCGACAATGTTCTGTCTTACCGACGCTGGGCGATGGTTGGGCTTGGTCGCTGATAATTCTATCGACTTATAGATCAGCAATTTATATATGCCATTTATAACCAAGCATTAAAGTAACGGTTTAATTACATCAAGTATACGTTTTGATTTTTTGCAAAGTCAAAACTGTGAAGTGTTATACATATATATTATTTGTTATATATATATATATATATATATATATATATTATTTTTCAGATATATATATATATATATGACAAATAAAGTGGCAAGATACTTATTGATTTAAAAATTAAATTTTACTTATTAGTACCGAATCTTAAGTCGGTACTAACAAGTAAAAGAGAACAAATTAATCAACTTTAAAACTTATTTTTTATATGACATATAACGTGAATGATCATGGCTCTTCACAACTTCCTGGTTTTTGTTGCTCTTAATAAATTTTGTTTTTTTGCTATATCTCCTTATCTCTTTCCTGCTAAGACTCTTCCATATTTCTAAGGCTGATGCTTAAGGATACGGGCTTATATATTGAAAATGTCTGCAGTACATTCAATTAAAAATTACCCTCAGTTCTTAACTTAGTCTGGCAGGTTTTGTGGTGCTTTCCTCTCTCTTGTTTGTTGTGTGTGTGTCAAATTTTCCAAGCCCTCTTTTCTCCTTATGTATCTGATATGTCCCGGAAAGGGATATATTCGAACGAAGTAGCTAAGCGGTTTCGGCTACAATAACCAAGTAGAATATGGTAGCAGTAATCGACTGGTATGCGTCGTAGTGGCAGGTAAGAAGTGTAGATCAATGGCGTAGTCCAATGGGCGTCGTTATAGACTTGGCTCTCAGACTAAGGCTCTTGACTCTGTCGTACCTACACGTCCGTCGGTATTTATGACGGACACCAGCCAATCATATTCCAGTGAGGGGGAACACAGGAGTACGCATATTCCATTATATCAGTATCCTAGAAATTTCACGAGTTTCTTTCTGATCATACCTATACGATCTTTTTTTTTCGTACTTCATTAATAAAGTTGTTTTGAGATATAATTTTTCTTATGGGAGAATATTTTAATATTTTGCTGAAAATGAAAATCAGGAGCCAAAATTTGGGACGTGTAATATCAACATATATAAATTTTTTTTTTTTTTTTTTTTAGCAAGATATACCTGCTCCAAACGATATTATTAATTCAGGACAGATCGGTACATAAACGTACAGAATACGCCGAGAAAACTTCCAGAGATTTAAACATATAATTAGCCTGCCTAGCACAATTCCGACATAGTAGCCTTCCTAGCAGTCCTCTTTTGACTTGATACACCGAAGCATAGACCCCTTTTAATTTACAAATTCCTTGTAAAGTGTAACTAAAGCTAAAACAATAAATCACAATACATAACGACAAAAATGAGAATTGGCAAGAGAAAACAAAGCAGAATGCATTTTGGTAAGCAATTTACCTCTAACATTGATCATGTTCTTGAAGCTAATATTCTGTAAACTCTCCCAAATACGTGGTTGAAAAATCTACCAGTACAAAGCAATTTTCCCATGTAAAACACCAATTCATTCGTCAGTCATTGTTTTTTGGACATTTTTCTCTGTTGCCATGAGGTTATATCGTAGCATCACTGATATGCAATTTGAGAGACGCCTCTCTGAACTCAATCGGAGTAACTCTGAACAGCTCCTGCCGGCGGGATCCACTCGAGGACATGTAGTGTACAACGATTTAAGATTCAAGTTTCTGTATCTTACGCGATATACATGTATATAGATGGATAGATATAGCTAGTTCATAGAGATAGATTTGATTTTACAAATGCCACCCTAATTAAAAAAAAATATCTTAATATTTTGCATCGAATGTACATCGAGAGCTTACTAATAACCATATTACAAACGATAAACACACATCGAAAACATATTACATTACCAACCTTTATTGAATACCTTATTAAAGAATCTAATATATGTATATGTAAAACAAACGGTATCAAGGTAAGAACGTTCCCAATTCAATATACGAAAAACTACCAAACACACGCACGCACGCTCGCGCACACACACACATACGCACGCACACACCGACTTACGAATATACATTATCTGTATCCCACATAGACAAACGAAAATTATTATACACTTGTATAAAAAGAATATTTACAGTTTCCAGTTAGGTTCGGAATCTGTTAATTTCTTGAGGTTTCGAATTGACGCGTCGTCTTCCCTTGAATTCGCAACGCAAATAATTATACTAACGTTTGTCTACCAAGTCGAATACATGTGAACCAGGATTAACCAATGAAAAGCAAACAATAAAAAAGTAAAAACACCAGAAATTATTTGTTCTATTTGTCCATATCTCATTCTGTGATGAGGCTTTAATAAAAGAGAAACATGTTAGATTGATAAATGTTCCCGATTAGTTCTTCATTCTATCGGAAGTCGATCCATATTTGATCAGTATATGATCGCAACTTATAGAGAGATAGATTGAGGTTCGAACAATTCAGCACCTGGACAGCATATGATTCGATTATAATGGTGAAATCTTGTACAGAACCATCCATATTTGCAGAACTGAACACAAAAAAAATTGTTGAGCATATTGTGCTACGATGTTGCAAAAACAGCCTTCTTCAGATTTATAATTCAGTGCGCCCCCTTTCTCCAAAACGTGCCACCAACCAATTTTAGAGACTAGTTAATCTATAGCTGCAGGAGGAACAGAATGAATTCATACTTTTCCAATATGTATTTTAACTAAAATTTAATGCAATTAACAAGACTGGAATTCGAACTAAATACTTACACACTTACACGCACACCCTTACACAGGCGCGCTTACACCCTTACACGCACACACACTTACACGCACACACACTTACACGCACACACACACTTACACGCACACACACACACACACTTACACGCACACACACACTTACACGCACACACACACTTACACACACACACACACTTACACGCACACACACACTTACACACACACACACACACACACACACACACACACACACACACACACACACTTACACACACACACACACACTTACACACACACACACACACTTACACACACAGGTTGAGATTGGAAAAATGTCACCATTCTATATTGTTAATTAGGCGCGTGTGCGTTGTTTGATGTTGATTTTGTCGACTGCAAAGTATAGTATCGTCAGTTGGGCAACGTCTGTGAGAAAAAGAATACCATGAAACAAGAAATTTGGCATTCGCACCGGAATATCCAATACGAGTATTTCGGAGTGTTTGGGCGTCAACCTGAGGAGAGTGAAGAGGATTCGGAAAGAGACTAATGGCGATGTTATGCCTACATTCATTTTCTCGCAGGGCCTCAGACTCTACACGGAGGGCTACATCCAGTGCCTTGAGGAGCTAGTGCTGCCCTGGATCAAGGGGGTAGATGCTCGTAGAATCTATGTCTGTCAACAGGATTCTGCGCCATGCCACACAAGCAGGGGAACCCAATTATGACAGTCAGAAAATCTCTTACATCCGGCTACCTAACTACCCAGCCTGCAATCCCCTTTGACTATTGTGTGTGGGGCGCAGATGAGGGAGAGTCCAACAAAACGTCTAACGCTTAAGATGAACTGAAGACAAGGATGATGGCAGCATCCACCAATAAATAAGGGAATTTTCTAGAGGAATTGCCGAAGATTGCGAAGTCGTCTGGAGTCCTATGGAGATGTCATTGAATAAATTTACTCTTTAGTATTTCAAGATCTTTCGTGTAAATTTGGTAAATATATCTGTTAAAATGAGATGTCTGAGTGATTTTCATTTTTTGCGTAATTTAGACGACAATTTATCCATCGCACATACACAAGCACTATATATATATAATATATATATATATTGATTTAAAATATTTTTTTCGCTACACAGTTCTAACCAGGTTTCAAAAATGGAAGCTGAAAGCTCCGAATTTAATTTTGTAATTAAATTAAAGACATTAGTTCCATTTCATCCTCAAGCGAATTTTGGAGTAACTTTTAAAATTACTGGGTTTTAAAGACACAGCAAAAATCATAATTCACGTTTCCAAGGATACAGAGAAATCCAATTCAACCAGACAAGGGGTGTTTGGGTGTTCATTATCGCTGTATTTTGATGTATCAGTTATTAGTTAAGTTTTGGTAGGGGTAGGGATGTATTTTTCAATGAAATCTGACATCCGTTAAATGCATGCCGTCTGGATTTTTTTTTTTAATTTTATTGTTAACGGCAAAAATTCTTACGGCATTTTTTTTCTATTTGTATATTTAAAGATTTGGTGGGGTGTTTAGGTTAGAATACGTTTTATTTAACTACGATTTGAAAAATATTTTCACTTTTAATTTTTAATATACTATATTTCTTTTAAGTAAATGTATTAGAATCCCTTACAGTATGTAGAATTATTTTCACAAAAGGAATAAAAATATTAGTAGCGACTCTAGGCAATCAATGTTTGTCAGAGCCATTACATTATTTAACAAAATATACCATTGGTACAATTTTGATGCGAAAATGATTCATTAACTATAACTAAAATATATAATTTTTAAAAATGTCTGCGCATGAAATTAAAAAGACACATTTACTTATTTTAATATTAATTGCAATAATTCTATAAAATAAAATTTGTTTAAATTTTTTTCCAGAGGCGGAAGAAAAAAGAGTGAGGACAAAGTCTTTGAAATGTTTGTCTGTTTATTGCCTCCTTTCCATTTTTTTAATTGTTTTATAGCCTGGTTTTTATGTCACTGATGGTAGAAATAGGAAAACTTGAATGATATCATATTTTCCTCAACACTACCCCAGTAACACTCCTCATAACAACCCGCTAGTCGACGAGTTAAGTCTGCCACTTCCTTTGATTTTTTTTGCAGAACTTAAGTCAGGCTAAATTTAATTTGCTCTTTTTCAATTGATAGATTCCGCTAAAGCCATTATACTGTACGAATAAATTATTTAAAATGAACATTTGAAAACAATAAATGTGTTCTTTGAAAAACAGGGCATACAAGTCATGAGATTTTTTTAAGAGGTAATTTATAAAATTAAATCAATAAATACATTGCATATTAAGTATGTCTTCAGCGTGATCTACGCAGCACGACTAGTCACATGATTATATTTCATTCATTTTTTACTTATTCTTTGATTTTTTTTTCCTTTCTTTTTCGGTCAATATTTTGAAGCACAAAATAAAAACAATACTGGATCTAGCTGAAGTCAAGAATGTAAACGCCACTTATATATATATATAAAAAAACTATGAACCTAAAGAGCTACATATATATATATATATATATATAAACTATGAACCTAAAGAGCTATATATATATATATATATATATATATCAACCTAAAATATATATATATATATATATATATATATCCATAATGAAAGATATATATATATATATATCAACCTAAAGATATATATATATATATCAACCTAAAGATATATATATATATATCAAAGAAGATATATATATATATATCAACCTAAAGATATATATATATATCAACCTAAAGATATATATATATATATCAACCTAAAGATATATATATATATCAACCTAAAGATATATATATATATATATCAAAGATATATATATATACAACCTAAAGATATATATATATATATATCAACCTAAAGATATATATATATATATATCAACCTAAAGATATATATATATATATATAAACCTAAAGATATATATATATATATATATATATACAAAAAGATATATATATATATATATATATAAATATATATATATATATATAAATATAAAGATATATATATATATATATAAAACCTAAAGATATATATATATATATATATATATATATATATATAAACCTAATATATATATATATATATATATATATAAACTGTAAAGATATATATATATATATATATATATATAATATAAAACCTAAAGATATATATATATATATATATATATATATATATATATAAACCTAAATGATATATATATATATATATATATATATAAACCTAAAGATATATATATATATATATATAAAATAACATAAAGTTATATATATATATATATATAAACCTAAAGATATATATATATATATATATATATAAAACCTTAAGATATATATATATATATATATAAACTTTAAAGATATATATATATATATATAAACCTAAAGATATATTTATATATATAAACTAAAGATATATATATATAAACCTAAAGATATATTTATATATAAAAAAGATAAATATATATATATATATAAATATAAAGATATATATATATATATATATATATATATATATAAAACTTAAAGATATATATATATATAAACTTAAAGATATATATATAAAAAACTTAAAGATATATATATATATATAAACTTAAAGATATATATATATATAAACTTAAAGATATATATATATATAAACCTTAAAGATATATATATATAAAACTTAAAGATATATATATATATAAACCTTAAGATATATATATAAACTTAAGATAAATATATATAAACTTAAAGATATATATATATAAACCTAAAGATATATATATAAAAATTAAAGATATATATATATATAAACTTAAAAGATATATATATATATATATAAACTATAAATATATATATATATATATATATATATATATATATATATAAAACTTAAAGATATATATATATATATAAACCTAAAGATATATATATATATAATACTATAAAACCTTATATATATATATATATATATAAACCTAAAGATAGATATATATATATAAATATAAAATATATATATATATATATAAATATAAAGATATATATATATATATATATATATATATATATAAACTATGAACCTAAAGAGCTATATATATATATATATATACATACATACAGAGAGAGTTGAGGAGGAACCATGGATATTTCAATGTCTAAATTAATAAGCTGCTATCCATTAGTCCTCCTCCTAAAATATATATATATATATATATATATATATTTATATATTCCTTTTAGTGGATACCCGTATTGAAACAGACGCTCCGTTTTATTTATTTATTTATTATACACTTTTTATTTTGAAAAGAAAATTTCAAGTAATATGGTTCAGGTTTTCGACGTTTGTAAGTCAGCTTCTGGGAAGGTAGACACAATTCTACGAAAGTCACTATTTATCTCTACCTACCCCGATGAAAACTGTAAAATATCAAAAGCTTAGACATTATTTCTTGGACTTTCGGAGAATTTCTGATAATTTCTGACTGATTTTTGCTATCTGTGAATATGTACTTTTTTTGTTTCTTTTGGCACGTTGGTCAGAGGTTATCAGCCTAAAATCGACCAAACTTACCCGAGATAAAAGGTAACAGATCGCTGCATGTCAGCAGTTAATTTGAGGAAAAGCACATGTCTCATCGAAAATTGCTTCTTTTAAGTTGACATTTCTGCTGATCACGAAACTGGCGCGATGTTTTGAGTACTTCCGTTCTCTTGGGAACCGACTGACTCTTAAAATATGAATTTACGGAATGGAATAACACTTCACTTCTATATATTGAAAGTATCTTGATTATGTTGCAATCGACAAACGCCATATTTATATTTCAAAACTGTCTACTATCTAGAAGGATCCATCTTTCATTTTTGTGACATCTGAGCAAGATTCTGAAAAGTTTCATCAGCAATATTAGGCTTCTTAATGAAAAAAATTCTCCCCTCGTTAAATTTGTATCATATAACGAAACCGAAAGACGTATACAAATGTACCAATATTACACAAAAAAATTATGTCAATCATTTATTTCTCAAAGATAACGATTTTAAGGAGAACAGTCATTATAATTACATTTGTCAATATAAATTCGTAAAATATATTAACAATTAACAAAATAAAATGTTCACTTTGAGATTCGAGATTACATCGCCTTTTTAGCGGAATTGACTGTAACAGTCCATATCAGCAAAACTGAATATCTAATTTTATTTATTACTAAGATTTTACTTAAATAATAAATAAACATGATAAAAAAGATGAAAAATGAAACTTACATATTTAAAGGTAACCTTTGAATAATACATTTTAAATAAGAAAAAAAATCTAATATGTTTATTTGTTATAAAAAATCGTATAGTTTATTAATTATTAAAAGCAGGGATTACACATTAAAATTGAGGGAATAGATTTTAAATATTAAAAATACGACGTATTCATATTCAAACGAAACATTAGCGAAAAACTGTGTGTATAAAATTAGAAATTAAACAGCAAAATAGAGATGACAAATATGTCATTAAAAAAATAAATAGACCAGACGACATGCGAAAAACGGATGTCGTCATCTGTTGAACAGGTACACCTACCCTCCCTTAACTTAACCTGATTTTGAAAGTAGCTTAGATTTGATACAGGGGTTGTCTATGGGAACAAATACCCTACCACCCCTTATTAATAATGATTTAAATTTCCCGTAACATTAAAAAGTAATAATATCAAGATTGTGCTTATAAACCCAGTAAATTTCAAAATAAGTTATTCCAGAAATCTCTTGAAAATGAATCAGAGATAAAGATTGTGAATTTAATTCTATAATTAAATTTAAAGTTGAGGTTCTTTTTTTGAAACATGGCAATTCCCATGTAGCGATGGAACCATATTTTTAAATTAGTAAATTTATAATAACTATTTCTCTATCTGTCTGTCTGTCTGTCTCTGTCTATCTATCTATCTATCTGTCTGTCTGTCTATCTATCTATCTGTCTGTCTGTCTATCTGTCTATCTGTCTGTCTGTCTATCTGTCTATCTGTCTATCTGTCTGTCTGTCTGTCTATCTCTATCTCTATCTCTGTCTGTCTCTGTCTGTCTGTCTCTCTCTGTCTGTCTCTCTCTGTCTGTCTCTCTCTATATGTCTCTCTCTATATGTCTCTCTCTATATGTCTCTCTCTCTCTCTCTTTGTCTCTATCTCTCTCTCTCTCTCTCTGTCTCTATCTCTCTCTCTCTCTATATATATATATATATATATAATTTGCTTTTATTTAAATATGGTTGTTTTTCCTGTATGAATATTGTTTCAACGATAATGAGTGTATTCAAAACAATTATAATTTTAGAGCCGACATCCTCAAATACATAAATTAATCGTCAAATAACACACACACATCAAAACTTACCTACGTCATGACACACTTCGCCTACGTCACAGCAGTCACCCGTTCTACGAAACTCACCATTCGTTTCTATTTACCCTGATGATGACATAAGAATGTCGAAAGCTTGAAACGTATTTCTTCCGCAATAAACTTCAGACGTCCTCCTTGTCTCAGAAAGAGTATTCGTAATTTGGAAAAGTCGATCATTAAAAGTAATCTACACAAACTACCTGTTGTCTTCAATAATATATATATATATATATATATATATATATAATATTATTGTATTTAGTTCATACTTATATTTGAGTAAGACGCTCCGTTTATTTATTAAGCAGTATATTTAATCATTTTCCTCTACCGACGGGAATATTCGAGAAATATTATTAAAGCATAATATGATCCCTCCGACAAATTTCGAAAGTACGTCTACTTTGGCAGGATAAACCGTCGTTAGATCCGACTTGCTTTATACCGACTCAGTTACGAAGAAATTTTGCCGATCAAGGAAGACTTGAATAGTTTATTTAAATGAAATTCTTCTCGTCATAATCTCTCGATTTCATATCCGCAGTTTCATATTCAAACATAAACAAAACAATTTCCAAGGAAATAATTGCCTTTTCATTTATTAATCCCATTCTCTCACTTAAACGTTATTGTTAGTGGAAAATCATATTTTAGTAGAAGCGACGTTTATTTAATAAACAGTATTTCACCGACCTGAATATTCGAGAAATTTTATAAGACAAGATTTAACTTTATTTGACTGTCGGTACACTCTTTAGCCGCGATTGTGTAAAAGCACTTTGGATCTAAGGATAGTTTCCCCTTTGAAGGAGTATGGAATTAACACATTAATTCCATCTATATTTTACGCGCGCGCGAGTTTCCTCCCTTCCTTTCACACTCGTGCGTGTGTGCGCGCGGTTTTCACCCCTTTCTTCCTCTCACAGCTAGACATAGCAGTAACCTTCGCTAGCTCCTACTGATGAACTCAGTCTAACAGATTTTGAATTTTTTTTCCCGCGCGTTTCGCGGCGTCTCAAAACGGCCAGCGTTTGCAAACCAGTTGCCTCCCGACTTTCGACCTAACTAGACGGGCAACTCATTTATTCCGTGCCCTTAAACCATATGCGGACCGGAATATCTTATTTCAACAATGGCGACCTCACACTTTACCAAGACTTCTTCTCGTCTTGACGTTACCCGCAGGTCAACCAGTTGCCTTCCGACCTTCAACCTGACTAGACGGGCAACTCATTTATTCCGTGTCCTTAACCCATATGCGGGCCGGAATATCTTATCTCAACGATGTTGACCCCACACTTATTTACCAAGATTTCTTCTCGTCTTGACGTTACCCGCAGGTCAACCAGTTGCCTTCCGACTTTCGACCTAACTAGACGGGCAATTCATTTATTCCGTGCCCTTAACCCATATGCGGGCCGGAATATTTTATCTCAACAATGTCGACCTCACACTTTACCAAGACTTCTTCTCGTCTTGAAGCTGCCCGCAGGTCAGACCTTCTCCGTTTTCGACCAGAAGACTTTAGAGACACACGACACGGTCGTGAGCAAAACTTCGTATTCAACTAATGGCTAATTTTTATCCCTCGTCAGCGAACCAGTAAATACAGACAGGGATATCCTACTGACGAACAACTTGCTATCCGCAGGTCAGACCGTCTCCGTTTTCTGCTAGAAAATGTTCGAGACACACGACACAGTCGTGGGCAAAACTTCGTGTTCAACAGGTGACTTACACTTACCCCTCGTCAGTGAACCAGTAAATACAGACAGGGATATTATTGCCTTCGAACAAACATTTTTCGTCTCTCTGGGCTCGCCGTAAACAACTCCACAAGACCATGAGACTCGCTTCAAACATTCTTCGTTTCTCCTGGCTAGATGCCCACAGCATTCCGTTAAAATTCTCAACAGTTAATTCAAGACCTGACCGAACTCTGAATCCCTACTTTGAACCTGAACACAAAAGAAAAAACACAAAATCACATACACTCTCAAATCATTGGACTCTGAACCAGTACCTTAAAAATATGCATAACATCACTCTCAACGCCCAAAAAATCCACAGTGAGTACTCCTTTCTATCTGTGCGCACATCCTTTTTCCAGAACCTTAGCCATCTTGCTTTCTATTTTGGCGCGGGACATTTTTCATTAATCTCGTACCACGAGATAAGTTACTCGTTTCCATCTAATTAAAGTTACACATGTTTTACAAACAGATGTCTTCGTCATTTTATTCCGGCTATCTCTTTGATGTTTATTAATTTATGCACTTGTTGATTGACCCCTTTCCTCTCACTGTTCATTCACGCATTATTTTATTTTATTTTTTTTACATTGCTTGTGGACTCGGTAGTTTAGTGCGGTGTCTGGCACAAGGCCACTTAGTAATAAACCAGCACTGCACCCTACCGGTTCCGCAACAGGACGCAGGTTCGAATCTTGCAGAAAAGCGCATATTTCTTATGTTAAAACCTTATTTTTTTGAAACCGTATTACTCATCCTGGAAATACGCCATTTCCTTTAAAATTTATTTGGGTGACACTATGTTAATTAGATAGTGATCCATAATTTTGAAGCATACCAAATACTCGTCAAATTACGCCTAAAGATGAAATCCAGGGAAGGCAAGAAGAGAATCAACGCTCATCAGCGCTAAAAATGAAATCTAGCATTGTCGACATACTGGATGTGCTTGTTACGTTCATTTTACCATAATACACTTGGGGGTAAACCATGAATGCAATTTTTTTTTTTATCCTATTTATAGGTTAAATATTCTGGTCACTATTTACATTATTCGGACTATTGTCCTCATCATTGTCGCCATATTTATCCCAACATTTCAGCCGTTGTACACTCCGGACTTCTTCAGGTGGTTGGAATGTCGAACTGAACCCTTTATTTCTTTCACTAGGGTAGACTGTTCTAGTCCCTGAAGAAGGCCAGAGCGTACAACGACCGAAACTTTGTAATACATATGGCGGCAAAGATGGGGACAATAGTCCGAATAATGTAAATAGAGTACATCATACCTCATCTCAGAAATATAGACAAATATTCTGGTGTTTTGTGGTTTGCACCTATGTTAAAACAGTCTATGAAAAGATTAACATTTTAATTCCATGGCGTAAACAACTAGTAATTAAAGCCATGACAATCCATAGAATTTATAGTTCTTCTTTTAATCGGTATCACCCCAAGTAAGAATGAAAAGCCACTAAGATACAAGGTGTTACACGGTGTAGAACAATTACGGACACAAGTAGTAATAATGAACGGAAAGAGTAATCAAGACAGCAGATAGCAATGGGCATTGCATTTACATTTTTGCACATTAAAGTTGGCTGGGAAGTATAGAGCCGAAATTGAGTTCCTCAAGTCAGAAGTGCGAGAAAAGAAATTCTGAATTGATATCTTGTTACCAGTCTTAAATTATAAAATAAAAACCTAGGTACTGTAACGAAGAGCTCATCAGAGCAATTGCCATGGTAGCATTTATAGAAAAGACAACAAGGAGGCAACCTTTCGGCGGTGGGAAAGTGATTGATGACAAGCTGCCAAATCAGGACCAATAATATTGGTGATACTTCTTCGGATTTTTATCAAGGAGCTCTAGGTAAATAGCAGCGGCATCAGACCATTAGCGGCAGCAATGTTGTAAGCATGGACGAATGTTAGACTTATAGATATGTAGGATAGATTATGGAGTGAAAAATTGTTTCGCAAGACACAGTGAACCAACTTTCTTAGCAGTAGACGTAGCAATGGATTCAATATATTCTTTCCACTTCATGTCAGCTGAGAACGTTAGATATAGAAAAGCAAGCTGTGAAGAATCGTTGCAAACTATGCGTTGAAAGGATATGACTTATAAACAGAACAAAATAAACGTTGAAATAATCTGCAGACTTAAAATGATTTGCTTCGTATACGCCCTTTGTTAAAGGTTTATTTTCTGTAATGTTTTCAGCTTTCTAGGTTGATTTATCTGGAGGCAATTTGTAAGTAGAAGCGAAGAAATGGCTGTTTTTTTAATAGGGTGACTAAGTTTACCTAGAAGTGAGAAAAACGAACTTAGATTTCATAAAACAGTAGATACAATTATCTAGAGGATGAAAATAGAATGAGAAAACTAATTGGTAACAGGGTAAACAGATTTATATGGCGGGAAATCCACAGGGAACAATAATGATTTTGAACGTAAAAGCAAAAGTGAGCAGAATTTCGGAGGGGATTCATAAATAGAAATTTTATTTGTAAAGGTGAGAATAGATTTATTCGGAACGAGAGAAATGCCAAGATCCCAACTAATAGCAATGTGGGTGCCAGTATTTGAATGGGATTCACAACTTCGTACAATAAATATACGCTTGGTGAAGATGTCATTTTTCTTATCTGGAATGATTGAAAATATGGGAAGCATTAATTACCAGCTGCTAAGATAGGCTTTTCAATAACAATAAATAAAATTTTAGTTTCATTTACCAATGTTAATATATTTTCTATATATCATCATCGTTTCTCTATATAGGCCGTTTCTCGTTAGAAAGTATAATCTGCTAGGGGTGATAATGTAGTATAATTTGCTGGGGGGGTGTTAACGTAGTATAATCTGCTGGGGGGGTTAAACGTAGTATAATCTGCTGGAGGGTGTTAACGTAGTATAATCTGCTGGGGGTGATAATATGAACCCTGTTGCAGAAGCCTACTCGATTACATTTGTGTTTCTTCATGGATATAATGCAAATGTGAACAAGGAAGTGTTAAGTATAATGGAAATAAAAATGACACAT